ATTGAGACTGGAAGAAAATCGTATTTACTCTCAAACATCATCAGGCAGAGATAATCAATATAAAATCTCAACCATGAAAATTAAGTGGGAATAATAAAATGCTCTGGGATTTTAACTGCAATGGCAAACCAAAGAGTGGTTTATATTGAATAGAAACAATCAGAGATCCGGAAATCAATCAATCCACTTTAATTCCACAAAGCAATGAATTTTCTCTCAATACCAAAAGTGTAAATATTTTTCTTCGCCATTGAGTACACAGATGATGGTGATAAATTACACACCACCAACACACTCCTTCGTGGCCTTCTCCGCGAGCGCGGCGCGCCGTTCGCCGGCGGAGTCTCGCGGTGCTCCATGTAAATGTCGAAAATTACATGACATATGGTCGTAATTGCTTTCTGTTTTTCCACCCCGCGACGGCAGCCAAATGCAGCAATGCAAACAAACCGAGGGTCGCGATAAAATCATCCCGAAAATTCCTGGTAAACCCGTGCAGGGCATTTTCTCTACTCCCCAAAACCCGCCCTTTTGCGAGATTTTTGCGGTTCCGCGTGCGCCACGTAAAAAGGCGCCTTTTTATCACACGCCGCGCGATGTGCGGAGAATCTTGAGTGATGAACGACAAACGGCTGCGCGCGAGAGAGGGTGTATTTTTAGAAAATCCATGTGTTTTTTGGCAATATCCGTGGGCCCCCCCGGAATCAGGCGCTCTGATCTCCGGCGTGCATGAATAAAGATGTGCGTCTGTCGATGCGGAGGACGGAAGCAGTGGGTGGAACGGAGATGTGACAGATTGAATGTAATTAGGAATTTATTTGGTATTCCTCAGAAGAGCTGAGAGACGTGGCAAAAAGGGGATTTGAGGAAAGCTCCGGAGCAAATCAAGGACTTTACGACCATTGTTGTCCTTGGTTTCCTTTCTTTTTCTGCACACTTTCGGGGGGTTTCCAACTAGCGACTTTTCAAAAGTCTCTTTCTCTCTTTGAAAATTGGATCGCATTGTTTTGCTTCGTTTCTTTCCTGTTTGCAAAATAATAACTTCTCTTATTGGACGATTAATGAGATTTTGTTTCAGAAACTTCACAACAGCGAAACTATAAAGAAAAAGTGAGCTTTAAGAACTTGCACCGGACTGAAATCGATTTTTTTCTTCAATTTCTTATAGTAAAAAATATGTCTGTTTGTGAATTAATTTTTCCATAGAAAAAAAAAACAACTAAAGCCATTTCCATGCTGAAAGGGAAATTTTCACGCGTACATTCTTATCAAGGGAAAATCACATTCTGAGCAATCCACGTTCGTGGAAAGTGCAGATAAATTTTAAACAATTTGGTAAATGCCTGAGCAATTCAATTACTATCTAATTTCCTGCGGAACTTTGTCTTTTCTCACATTGATTGCATAATGGCGAATGTGCCGGGAAATCGTGTGCAAATTGCTGCAATTTCAATCTCAACCACTTAGTCTCAAGTGGGGAGAATGTCTGGCTATGGAGATTCCGCGGGACAGACTTTCCATGCTGTACTTTTTCGACGCGCGCCTCACCTGAGCTCAGCCATATAGGAATTAATTCCGCAAGTGAGAGTGAGGAAGAGGGCAATTTCCATCCGATGTTATTGATTTACAACTTTTCCCTCGGGCACTCATTTTCCGCCCAGAAATTGATGCTTTCGTATTCCATAGGCGTGCAGCCGGTTTCTTTTTCCACCGCTCCTCGCACTCTGGGGTGGCTTTTGAGGGTGGCTCCAATGGAGTCTGCAGCTCTTTTCCCGGGGTTGGCCGAGACGCTGAAAGACCGTGCCACTGGGTGGAAAATTCCGGGCTTCCGCTGGACGCGTCTGGCATGTTTAATATATGGTGACTTTTTAAATAAAGTGGAAATTGTCACTTAATACAAAATCTGCAGGCGCCGCTGAACACGTCTGGACAAAAGTGTGAAGGCAAGAAAAATGGCAAAAGTGCTAAAGAGACGATTTATGGCCGTGGTCTCGGGCGTTAGGCTTTGATCCTCTCTATTTTAATACTTTTCCTTTTTGAAGACATAAAAAATAACTCCCCAGATATTATCCTTAACGCCTGTTTTCCTTTCACTCTGCACTCTGTGCGGAGCCAAAGAGAAAACGATGAACCATGAACAAATAATCCATCACTCTTCTATAGATTTCCTGGCGCATGTATATCCTTATCTTCGGGAAACTTTCCTATGTATATATTGTAAAATTTTATTGTAACTTTCGCCTTCGGTGAAACTTCACCCATTTGACTTTGCTGCCTTTCTTTTATGGCTCGCCCTAAACATATTCAAGCCCCAAGGAAGAGATTTTCGGCGATAGGATCGATTATTTATTCCGACGCCCCGTGGAAAATCAAGTGTGGCGGAAAATCTCAGCGCGTTTTTCTTCATTTCCACCCACACCATTGCCAGTATATCACATTTATCTGAATCTCACCAGAAATGTAATAATAAATAATAAAAAGTATTCAAGATGCTTTTTTCTCTCCCTTCCTCGAGAAGCGACCCAAGGGAGATTCCGGGAGCCATTCAGGCAAAAAGCGAGCGCGGAGGAAGAGTGTAACTATAAATTATTCAAGTGAATCTCCATAATGCCGAGTGTGAGCGAAATTCCACTATCTCACTCTATTCTGTGTGTGTGTGTTTGTGTGTGTGCTCAGCGTGACAAAATAATCCTTTTCCGCCTTATCTTCATCAAGACATGCTCCTCCAGCCGGATATTCGAGCTGCCGTCTCGTCAACTGTGACAGAGAGAAAGTCAGGACAGAGGACAAGAAATCACGATTGTATCTTTCTTTGCTCATTTCCTCACATCCCCACATTGACCCCGCTCTCGTGGGCAGCTCTTCTCTTTGGGGTATTCCATGACAAGCACATTTTGGCCCTTTTGCCATGTGCGGTTCTTCCGGAAAAACTTTGCCAAGCAATGCGATGTTTGGTGGCTTTTTCTTGCCGCTTCTCTGGTTGGAATTCAATCTGTGGATCTTGCAGAAATTAGGGGTTTCTTGTAAAAGTAGCATTAGAGCGAGGTTTGCTGGCTTCTGTTGATTTTTGCTTCTTCGAAAATTAACCGGTCACCTAATTATAATGCCCTTGTTGTATAATGCCCTACCTATAGACTTGAGACGGCCTGAGCTGAGTGAACACAGCTTCTCGCGAAAACTCGTGGACCATCTTTGGTCAGAGTATTTGTCTACGCGGATTGACCACGGACTGGTTCCGGAGGATCGTGGATCTCTGATTGGTTGATGAAGCCACCTGCATCCCCCCCTTCATATTGGTGCTCTCTTGTTCTTTGTTTTTCGCGTTGCTCATGAAGTTTTCACCTCGTACTCGCATCTCTCTTCCATTACATTGCTGATATTCGTCCCTCTCCCTCCATGTATCCCGATCCCACTGAACCCGTGGGCAGCGCTTCAACTCTTAGAGTTTTGCTGTCCCACTACTCCTTCCTTTTTCTTTTAATATGTGACACGCTGGCCTCAAAACAGAAATGTTAGTTTTAAAATAATTAAATTGTAAGGCTGTGAACCTATATATGTAACTAACACTTTTCCCCCAAATGGCATACACGACCGAAGAACCGAGCTTTCTGCCGTTTGCTCGGGGAGGTTGGCAATGAAGCCGGCGGCAGCCGCACACAAAAGAAAAAGAAGGAAGAATAAATTTATTATTATTATTATTATTATTATGTCATGCAACGAAAGATAGCAACAATTCTTTGATCTCGATATGCAAACTTTCTAATATTTCTCAAGAGCAGTAAAGCTGATCTCTGTTGTCTGGTCGAATGGATGATCCACAAATATATCGCAGACAATCTTCGTTAATGTGACGGCAATAAAACTCCCGTCGCGCCCGGCGAAGGCACTCGTGTTGGCATTTGAGGTGAATGTCGATAAATTTGCGTGGCTGTACTCCTCGGGGTGATAATGGGCAAATCGTCCAAAGTGGGGCCCAAAGGTGATTCATGAGGCTCGAGGCGGTCTCACGAGAGACCACCCGTCGTGGACAGAGGCAGGACGGCTGCTCGGGGGCGGCAATGTGACAAATTCCCTCGTCATCGTCCACCCTCAGTGGTGGGAATTTGGCGTCCGGCTGTGCATTGCAAACAGTGCAGCACAATCGACTGTTGGGACTCCGGATGGTGTTTTATCAGTCGCGTGGAAATTGATGCAATTAACACGCAATATCGAGCTGAGGTGCGGTTTTGCCGGGGAATTCAATCACCTTCGCGTGGTGACAAATTAATTTGTCAGGTGTTGAGAATTGGAATTTCGTTCTTAATCTCCTCGTAAATTTGCCCATGATTGAATCTTCGCAATTGTCAAGAGACTCGCAAATTTTCCCATTTTATGCCTTTCCGTCTCGCCTTGAGTTGTGCTTGTGACAACTAACAAGTTATTGCTCCTCTTCGTGGCTTGTGACTTTAATTGCTCAGTTCGCAGAATGACTGCTAAAATCAATTGTTTGTCTTGCGCGCGTGTGTGCAACAAATGCTCAATCATGTGCGAATAATTGAAATTTGATTAAAACAAATCGTCTATACAGAAGGCATGAGAGACTTTTCTGACGATGCAGAGCATTTAATCAATTTAATCTGTCACCCATAAGACGATTTATCATGTTAATTTTGACGCACTTTCCTTGCCGCCAATGCATGGGAGAATCTGAAAAATGAAGCCCCATCGTTCATCTTAACTTTCCTTATCTGCCCGCCTCGGTGTTCACCCCAAGGCGCTCTCCGCATGATAATAAATGGTTAATTGACAGGCCAGCGAGAATAATAATCTATTCACATTTATAAAATGGAATTTGCCACCCGTCGACTCTCGCAATTTCCTGCCAATTCCCGATTCTCCGGCGTAACAGAGAAAAGTTGGTCGACTCATTGATGGACAAGAAAGGGCGCACGAGAGCCAGCCTCTCCGCGTGTCCTATTTTCGATTGCGCCACTGTAGCAGTGCTTCTTTCTCACTTGCAGACGGAACTATCGCACAATCTTCAGCAATTGTCGGAGAAAGCCAGATCGACGACGGAGTTCATCCAGCGACTGAAAGGGATGAGCGACAAAGTGACTGTAAGTGCTTTTCCGTTGATACGGCGAAACATATGTAATGACCGGGGATAGTGAGCCATAAAAGGGGGTATAAAATGGGCAAATTTTGCAGGATTCTTGCATTGAGTTCGAGCGTCTCGTGACGGCCCAGTGCGAAGCTCTAATCCAGGCAATTCATGATCGGAGAGAGTATCTCTTAGAAGCAATCAGGCGGGATAAAGACACTAAGCTACGGATACTTAAAGTGAGTTTAAATCCCACACACCCCTTCTAACTTTTGCGCAGATTAGAGCAGAAACATTTACCCAACTTTTCACCCCTTCCGCACAGGAGCAGCAAACAAGTTGTACGGGAAAATTGCAGCAAACAACAGGATTAATTCAATTCTGTATAGAGGCACTCAAAGAGACTGACAGTGCAGCATTTCTGCAGGTACGTCGAGAGCGTCTCCGTGTGTCTGCCGCCACTTGCTCACAATGCTTTCTTTCCAGGTGGGGACAATGTTGATCCACCGCGTGGCCAACACGGACGTCACATGGCACCAAGAGGTGACAAATGCAGCTCCTCGAGTTTCACCCATTGTGGACCTCACATTGGACGATGCGCCACTCCTGCGAGCCATCGACAATCTCAACTTCATTCAAATGAAGCGTAAGTTTACCTTCACGAGCCATTGAAGTGCTTTTCTTTCAATTCTCCCCTTTGTCTCCAAATGCTTGCAAGCAGCTTCTAAAGAGGGTGAGGAAAGAATACCAGCAGGTGATCATCATCATTTTCAATCTCATGCCCAAGAGTCTCTGAGCACTCTCGAAAATTGACCTCATTTGAATACATCGAGCGAAATTGCAATGTGTGTGTGTGTGTGGAAATAATGGCCAAAGAAATTGATTTCTCCCCGTTTTTCTTCTTATTAAAATGGGCGAAATTTCTTGTTTAGATCTGTGCACAAAATCAGGAGTTATTTGAATTGTCTTGAAGCTCCGCCCTCTTAATTGCTCCGCCCATTTCTCTGTTTTCGAAACAGCTAAATTAACTGTCATTGCGATACACGCAATCACTTGTCATTCTTAATCGTTTTGCTACGATTTCTTGACTTCAAACATTCGGTTATCCATGTTTTTATTATCTTGTTTTTTACTTTCCACTGCCTTCTTCAAAGGGCGCCTCAATTTTGAGCACACAACCAAACTTTGAATTCGAAACTCCCCCACAGTTTGAATGGCCTTTTCCCCCTGCGATTTTTCAATTGAGGCCGATTTTGCGGAAACCCACTCGCAGCGTGAGCCCCTAAAGCCGGGGCCATGAATCCTCATTATGTGACCATTACCGTGACTCTCTTGCAGCCCCCCTGGCGCCCGCGATAATCCCGGAGGACTGCTCGGCGGAGAACAACTCGGTGACGGTGGCGTGGCAGCCGCCGAATCACTCCTTCGTCGAGGGCTACGTCCTGGAGATGGACGATGGGAACGGCGGTGATTTTCGAGTAATGTCACACCGAATGGCAATTGACGGCGCGCGGTGTTTAATGGAATCAATAATTTACAGGAAGTTTACTGCGGCAAAGAGACAATTTGCACCGTGGACGGCCTCCACTTCAATTCCATGTATAATGCACGTGTGAAAGCGTTCAACAGCACCGGCGAGGGCGAGTACTCTGAGCTAATTGGACTCCAGACTGCCGAGGGTGATTATTTATTAAATTTTCTGGGCCCATCGTGACGCTATATATGCACACCCTTGATTAAATTCAACCTTGCGCTGATAACCCCGAGGCTGGGGTGGGACTGTATTGATCCACACGCACTCCTTCACAGTCAATTTATTTCGGGAGCGGGGCAAAAATCAAATTTTTACGAAGATTAAATCCATAATGAGCCCTCAATGGCGGAGGCGCGAGCGTGAATTCGCGCGCAGGAGGCACAATATCTACTCAGCCCGGATGATAAATTACTTTCGCCATGGCTACGTGAGTCTGCTATTCAGGGCTGTGATATCCCCGACAACCCCTCGAGAGCCCGCGCGTGATGCTGTCTTTCTATTTATTTAAGACACACTCTCGCCTGATATGTTATTCACTGCCTCATTAAACTGAGGGGATCCCGAATTTTGCATGCGAAGACGGGCGCTGACTGAAAATGGAGAGGATTAATTCAACCCCAACGGGCGGGCGGAAAAAACCCCAACATTGCGGGGCATCACAAATGAATCGTCACAGATGCCATTAACTTGCATCCCTTCGTCTCGTTCGCAGTGGCCTGGTTCACGTTCGACACCCAATTGAGCGGCGGCCCGTGCTCGGGGCTGAACTTCAGCAACGACAACGCCACCGTCTCGGCCGACGGCTGGGAGCACCGGGTGGCGCTGGGGTCTGTGGGCTTCTCCCGTGGCGTGCACTACTGGGAGTTCACCGTTGACAAGTACACGGCGGACACGGACCCGGCCTTCGGAGTGGCGCGCATCGATGTGGCCAGAGACAAAATGCTGGGTGAGTTTTTTGCACTCTGTCAATTCCACACAACTGCCGGATTGCGAGAATTTGTCGGGCATTCAATGGACGAAGAGTCAGACTAACGACCGAGTCTGGATTGGGGGACGTTCATCAATGTGTGGGGCTGAATGGGACGAGCACAAAGTCTAATTTAATTTGCCAGTGCTCAATAGTCGCAATACAGTAAAAATTAGTCGGTATGGTAACTTTCTCTTAATGCAACTGACAACGTTCATTTGAATGAGGAAAGTTTTATTTAATTACTGCCGTAATTAGTTTTCAACTTCAGATGTTTCACATTTCAATGACAGTTCCGGGCAAAAAATCATAGCTAAAGTAATTATATTTGAAAAAAATTGACTTCCATTTTCTACACCTTTAAGAGTCTGAAATCTATTTTAGAGCTTTAGAATGTCTTCTAGTGATTTGTAAGTATTCTCTCATTTTTCTACCCGGAAGCTAAACACTTTGAGCATAATTATGAATGTACAGGGAAATAAATGTTCGAATATGCTTAAACTGTTCCTTAAATTTCCCCTTTTCGAACGGTCTGACGACCGCATCTGAACTCTCCTTGCAGGCAAGGACGACAAGGGCTTCGCGATGTACATCGACAGACAGCGCTCGTGGTTCCAGCACAATTCCGTGCACGAGCGACGCGTTGAGGGCGGCATCACGACGGGCAGCACGATTGGTGTGTTGCTGGATCTGGAGCGTCACGTTCTCAGCTTCCTAGTGAATGAGATGCCGCAGGGCTCGGTGGCTTTCCGCGACTTGTACGGCGTCTTCTATCCCGCCGTGAGCGTGAATCGTGGCGTCGGACTCACACTGCACACCGCTCTGGATGCGCCGCAGATGGACTATCGTCACTAAACGAATTTATCCGCCATGGCACTTCACCCAACATATCCTCGAGACGGCACTTGAGCACAGCGGAGGGAAGGCTTGCAGTCGAATTTCCTCCCTGAAATTTCGGGGGAAATTATGTCAAATTCAATCATCCATCGTGTAAATAGCTGTGAAGCAACTTCACAGCCAGTAATTTCACACCTTCCGCCCCCCCGCCCACACTCCCCCGCAGGAATATCGAATTGAGAATCAAAATTACATTGTAACAGGTGTTAAAGCAGAAAATATCCAAGCAAGAATTCATAGTAAATGTCGAGAAAATCAGTGTATGAGCAGAAAATAGAAACTTTAGATAGATGGAGCGTTATACGAAACTATCATCCAAGGCACGTTAACTTCATTCCGGTGGAATATTTTTCAATGAATTGAAAAGGAGTTTTTTTTTCTTTGAAAAAAAAGGGACGCAGAATGGTTTTTGGATCATTTTGGGAATTGTTTTGTACAAATTTCAATATATTATTATAAAAAAAAATTATATTGAGTAGAATTGTGACACTATTTAAATATTAAATGAATAATATATATAAACTAATATGAGTATAATATATAACACTGCGTAATATATGAATGTATGATATGAATATTATAGAAAACAATAAAAATCTCAATTATGTAAGTCGGTGTTTCGACAGCAACTCCTCAACAGCAAACATTGGGCAACATTGTGGGCGAAAGAGCGCCGGAAAGAGGAAGAGCGATGTGTGTGAAAATCCTCCGTGTGTGCAAATGTGGTAAAATTCGTCCGGAATTAATCCCTTTCGCTCGCAGCTCCGGGGCCAATTGACACAGAGAGAGAGTCAGAGGTAAAAGTAGCAAAAACAACAATTTATACAGAGGAGCGGGGTCTGCGTGCGGAGGAAGGTATCATGGCCATGTTCAAATACGGAGAGACAACAAAACATTCGCAATTTAATAGGATGAAATTCGCCTTTGGCATCGCATTCAAAGCATTCCTCATACATGGTCACCGCCCCAAATCCTCAGCCTCTGTGCTTTGTAATGACCTAACAAACAAGACGGGGTGCTTGCCAAGCGGCCTCCCCTGAGAGAACACATCAAATATTATTGCAAGGAAGCTGTTGAGATGGGAAAAAGGACAATCATGAGGTGAGGCAGGCTCACAGGCTCTAGGATTCATGCAGTGGCGTAATTTACTGTGATACAAGCGAGATATGAGCTGGCCAAGAGAAGGCGTAGAAAATATACTAAATCTCAGTGAAGTTCAATAAGGAAATCCTGGCAAAATATATGCCGAAATCGAGTATTGATTATTCTGTTACGCACTTGTTTTCACGCAAAGCTCTTTTTAGGCAAAAAAAGTGTAGATTTCTCAGCGTGTACAGAGTGCAAATATAGAAGACAAAGAGTGGAGGACACAAGCTCTTCCCAAGGAGTGTTAACCTCTCAGTCTTCCAATTTCCTTGTATTAACTTCTACTTAAATTTCTTTTACAGTGTAATTGAGCTCTGAATGGCTCGGGAAATTTTACAATTGGATCACATTAGGTGAGCGCGCCGCTTAAGAGATCTCTCAAGCGGGTCTCTTATCAGTTAAAAACGGCGCGCCTGGAATGGATTAGGAGAAGACATATTTGGGTGCAATTGCACTCGTGCGCAATCGGCCGGTGCTCAGCGGATTGTGAATGGGTTTAAAAGGGGATCCCGCTGAGTAATCGGCCTCTATCTCATTCGTTTCGTCATCACGGTAATTATCTCTTTATTAAGTTTTTTTGTGGCAGCCATAGTGGCAAATTTATCTGTAATTTCTTGGAAGTCAAATTGTATTGCATCTTTATGAATCGGGCCTTTAAATTTACTGGTGTTTTTGTGTGAATAAATTTCTTAAGATTCACGCGAGTGTGTTTCTCTGTAGGAAAATTTTATTAAAATTCAGTCAATTGTCGCTGGAAATTCAAACCGCCATTAAACTCCACCTATTGGTAACCTCTTGAGGATAAAACAGATTGTGGAAATAAAGATGTTATAAAAAAATATGTCCCTGGAGAGGAGCGGCGCAGGATAGAGGGCACTGGAGCCGAGTCCTTAGTCAGGTGAAGACCAGAAACTGGTCGCAATGTTGGAAAAGTCAGTTAAAATCGTGGGATTTTGAGCTCTGACTCGGAATTAAAATACTCGAAAATGCCGTCGAAACCGAAACTGAAGCCGCATCATCAAGCTGCGCGGCTTCAGTTTGCTGAGCGCCACATGAGTGGCGCTCAGTCATTTCCTCGGACGAAAAGAAATTCAACTTAGATGGGCCGGATGGACACCGGTATTACCAGCATGACTTCCGGCAGGAGCCGCGCATGCTATTCAGCCGAAACTTTGGCGGAGGCAATGTAATGGTTTGAGCAGCTTTTTCATGGAACTGCCGCACACCAATTTGCTTTGTTCCACCGAAGTTCGATGCAAATGGCTACCAAACTCTGCTTGAAGACGTGTTAATACCATTCATGAAAAATCTTCCCAATGAAGAGGATTTTATTTTCCAACAAGATAATGCAGCGATTCATCGAGCAAGATCAACGAAACAATGGCTTGAAGACAGGGACATTCCGGTTCTTCACTGGCCAGCCATCAGTCCAGATTTGAATCCTATAGAAAATGTGTGGGGAATGCTTTCTAGGAAAGTATATGCTCATGGAAAACAATTCGACAGCATTCGGGAGTTGAAGGCGGCAATTGTTGAGGCTTGGGCTAACATTCCAGCCGAAGAACTAAACAAATTGCTTGTTGGAATGCCCCACCGAATTTTTGCCGTCATTCAGAACCAAGGTGGTTCCACTAAATACTAAAATATTGTAAGAAAGACTGTAAAAATATTGTGAAGATTGAAATATGGAATTAATAATTGTAATTATGCACTGTAAAATTCATTCAAAATAAAGGTTGTTAAGCCAGCGCTAGTAAATAGCGTCGAATCTCCACCTACGGGATGCTCATATTAATGTTAACAACCTCAAAAGGCAAAAAGGAATTTTAAGCAGTAAAATTTTCTCAAGAATTCCACACTACTTGAGAGTTATTTGGACACAATGCCTGAGGCTAAAGGTCTCAAACCAAAAATTGAACTATTCAATGATCGGTTTCTCCGTGCGAAACTTCACATTGAAGTTCAAAATAACATTTTGAAGAAAATGGAAAATCTTATGTTAACAAAGAGAGTCGTAGACAAAACCTGAATAATTGTATACTGAATCCGCCAATCGTGTCGGTTGAGATTCAATTCTCACCATCTCTCACCACATGTACATATTTCACCATTCTTCAAAAGAAGGACAGCGCCACTTCCGCTCCGTCCGGTCACTTTTTCGTGGACTACAAAACTGTGAACATCTCTAGTGTCTCATCAGTGAAAAATCCATAAAAATACATTGAAATAAACTCCCAAATCTCTCCCTTTAACTAAATTGAATTAAATTAATAATAAGTGAAATTTATTTGAATCGAAGAAGAAGAGCATCGCCGTCAGGGACTCAAAAATTTGATCCCAACTCACCGAATACTGAATTACAGGTGAGGGTAAACTCCTCTTCATATACCAAAAAGGAATAATTATGTCCGTGAGTAAATTAATAAATTATATGAATATAAATTTTTTACTCTTTTAAATATATATAAAAGCACCTAATTAAATTTGAATAAATAATAATAATAAATATATATATAATTCATCAAATTGATTACTTATAAATTTTTATATCTTTCATTTTATTTAATTTTTTTTCATTTGTTAGATTCGCTTACTGAGAAGCCTTTTTGCATGTTTATTGTAATGAAAATCAGTCTTGGTTTTATCGATGGAAAAGCGCCTTTTTATCAATCGTTATGTCTTTGATCTGAACGATCGAAGTCGTTTGTTATGAGTTATATCACCGAATGCCACTGCAAGTGGGTGAAATATCATTGAGAATTGTGAGTTTTGAAGATCCACTCGAGTTGGCACAGAATAGATTTCCAATTCCAAAACCGCACCGCCAATTAGGCAAATTTAAAGCATCAATTTAGCAATTTAGCGGCAATGCTGCCGTAATTCTCGGGCAATTCAGAATTTCGATGCACTCTGGCAAATTTGTAAATTCGCCCGTATACAAATTTTCCAATGTTCTTGGGTGAGTTGTGCACTCGGCAAGTTGGCCGGCGCAAGTTGGAGAGAACCTTTTGCACCACTTTATAATATTGTTGAGCTGTAATTCCACATGATCCCCAGCTTTTGGGCGGCAGCGCCGACGAAACTATCTTCGAGCACTTAAGTGCGGCCATAAAAGCGGAAGCGGGGTCGCAATTCTTCACCCGCGCTGCCGGCAGAGGTGAGAGATGCCCCGAAAGGGGTCAGAGATGGAGTGCGGGTGAAATGCACAGACAATGGGAAAGCCACAGAACGCCAGCAAGTGGCTAACTTTGTTTGCTGCCTCCGTTGTGCTGTGTATTTTCAATAACACAATCTCGTATATCAGCTAAAATTGCATTACTTGTGAATTGTGTGGATTGCTCCTTAAGTGGGGTGAAGTGGAAATTTTCAATGGCTGCTCGTGTGCTTTCCATCTGACTGGATCAAATATCTCGAGTGCTCCGCATTTATAATTGCGACTTATCCACAACTCAGCAACTCCATATCGAGAGTCCTCGAGCATCCGCACCGTCTTTGTCGATCGGCAGAGAGAGAGAAAGACTTTTCCTTTGAGCGTGCAAATCAAAACACTCGACACGGTGCAAATCGAGTCACGTTTTCCATACTGATTCTCACGAATATGCATAAAATATTGCGATGTGTCGAAAAGGTAAGGATACACTTCATTTCCATATTTTCGCTACATTCCTTTCACCACGTAAAAATTTTACACGGATCAAGGAATGCATAAAAAATGAAGAGAGATTTGCCTTTAATTCACTAAAGATATGGAAAAGGATTTAAGGTTATTATCAACATATAAAATTGAAAGAGTCAATAATAGGGAATGGATCCCTTCGACAGGGATGAAACCCTGTTTCAAGCGGATCACAGGATGCCGCCCTATTTCGCCAGGAAACTAATCGACGAGCTCAAAGAATTCGACACGCCTGGAAAATAGATTTGGATTCCTTTTCATGTGTCAAAGTTCTGGCTTCGCTGTATTTCCTGACGAAGGGATCTTACTTGGGAGTCACAGGGAATCACTTTCACATCCTGGTTGACAATCTACAGCCAGAATTTCGCAGGATTTGTCGCCAGCAAACATATTGATGAGTATCCTGGAATTGGTGTTAAATCATGTAATGATAAATAAACAATGCTAAAGAATGAACAGAAGAAATTGAATAAATTTCTAAATTAAATTTCATATAAAACTTGCTATTCACTCCCAATGAAAACAAGTCCACTGTTTGTGATTCCCATTAAAGCAACAAACCGCCGTTTGTATTCCTCTGCTCGGCTCTGTAGCTTTCCTACATATTTATTTAAATGTATCATTGGAATTGCAAAAGGATAACGAATAGCACAACAAGCTTTCGGGGGAGAAAAAATACGATTCTCAATCTTGGGCTCACCATGAATTCCTGCACGGCTTCAGCTGCGGAGCGTGTGCGGGGGCGCGGCTCCAATTGAGGGGTGCATATATCAGGACAAGAGTCGAACTGGAGTAAAACATAAATGTCAGCGTGTTCGACAGTTTCCATTTTGCACAACATCGGGCCGAAGGGAGGCAGACAATTGCGGGGGATTGTCGTTGATGTCGCAGGAAAATATTGTTATTGTCGATTATTTTCCATATTTTATCCATTATAGTTTCACCCACAACTTCCTCCCCGGTGAGTCTGCGAGGTGGTTTTCCGTGCGCGTGAACTCCTTGCGCTCGTCGGCGGACGCGATGCGTTCTGTCATGCGAGACCGTTTAAATTGGGATTGAGGGACGCTGCTCTGGCCCGGAGGCTGCAAAAGGAGAGGAAATCCGAAGGGGAAAGTAATTGGATTGCATATTTGAAATTTATTACACCCCAAGGAATTGATATGTTTTTCTTGCCACGACTTCATCAAATTACTGAGAGTTTTTGGCACAATAGACGTCCGCTCGAATATTCGCCTCTTTCTCTCTCGTGCACTCGCTGTAGTGGAAAGAATTTGCAATTTATAGGAAAGAGCAAGAATTTTTCCACCAACACTCGAGGCCACCCTTCGTTGGCAAATTTAATTAGAGTCAATAGAAATGTTGTGTACATTAAAGTTTTCGGGTGCGCTTTGCAATTCGTAGGGAAATGCTTGAGAGAGCGAAACTCTTGAAACCCCATTTGAGAAATATTATATTGCTTTTTGCGGTGAATGCAGAGATACAGCAACACAAAGTGGAACAAATGACTTCAAGATATCATCGTGATTAATTGTGTTCACAAGTTCTGCTTAAATAATAGCGCACAGCGTGATTAATTGTCTCGCAGGATTTTTGGGAATTTTACAGTGCCACAATACTGAAAGTGCACCAAATTAACCTTGCGAATTTATCATTTTCCGCGCGACGCCGATGCTTTCCCAAATGGTCGCCATGGGTGAAAAACAAGCGCCAAATAAAGTGGATCTCCTAATGTGAAAACTATATGATAAATCTCCCAATAATGATTGCAACGCATTTGCGAGTTGCTATCGCGCAAATTAATTATCTATACTGATATCGCCGCGAGAGGATTCATTTGGCCGGCGGCCGGGCGATAAAGTTCAAATTTCATTGCAATTCGCTGATATAATCTGTCCATTAAAATGCCCATTAATTAACATTCGCCCAGTATTTGCAAGTAATTATTTCATAACACAACTTTACATAATTCCGCCATGTCGAATCAACAGCGAATGCCGAACGGCGGCGGCGGCAAAAAAATTGTGCAAATTGCATTTTCATTTCTTCATTATCTTATCAGGAGGTCCATTATGGGGAGTGAAATGCAAATTTGCCCAGAGAAAAATATCATTTGGCGTTTGCGAGGTAGCCAAGAGCTAACAATTATTTATGGTATTTCTCCCCCGCTCGGCCTAGGCAAACTTCTCTCCACGTTGGAGCCATAAAGCGGTTGAGCTGCGCCACCCCGCGCTGCTGGGGAGCAGAAAAATATTATTCCACAGGGAATTACTTAATTATGATGTTCTTTACACCCATGGCAAGGCAACTAAAACCAACGTAAATTACACCGCAGAGGCAATGAAACTTTTCCCTGGCATCTTTTCTCCAAATGGAAGCAATACAGCTTGATCCGGGCTCCACTTTTCCGCCTGCCAGCCATTCAAATGGAGCTCCAGCAGTGAGATTCTTCACGCAAAACTATGATACTTCAAAGAGATCTTTAGATTATTGCTTTAAATATATTAACTGAAGATTAATTATCTGCAACACTTGCAGTGAGAATTGTTACCAGATTCATCGCGTTGTTTGGTTTGTGTGATAAAATTCGGGTAAGAATCTCTTTTAAGGTCTATTTCTATGATTTAATTCTCATCACACGATTATTTAATCAATTTCAGACAAAATGCCTCGCGGAAACACCTTTATGCAACTAGAGCAAGGAAAAGAAACGGAAGACTGTCCGTGGAAAACAACGGTCCCACAATGTCGTCTGCAATTTCCTCAAATCCCTTAAATGCTATAAAATGTGATAAAAAATGGTTTGTTTATTATTGGGAAAACTAAAGTAAACCTTAAAAAGCAATTTACATAAAAAAATGTGGATTTTTGGGAAAACTTAAAATTAATTAACCCTTTAACGAGTGCAAGTTTACAAGAGAACAATTATAGAAAACTCTTGCTCGAGCGAGTTGTTTGTATTTGACTAAAAACCATGATGATTTTCAAGAAAATAGATATTTTGACCTCCACAAAATTAACACTTCTTGCCTTCATTATTACTTTAAGAATACTTTAGTCACGCAAATACAGCTAAGATAATATCACAATATTAAGTAGTGAAACATGTGCTTGAAGATAATGTATTAAACGTATGAAAAAGTAGATTGAAATGTGATTAAAAATTATCCAATTTATGGGTAACGCAATGACCAATTTGTCGTCAAAGGGTTAATTGATCGCGTCATTAGCACGAAATGAGTTCTTTTTGTAGATTTAATCTCAATGAAAGGACGCAATTCTTCTCATATTAACTAAAAACTATTCCGTTTTCACTGGATCTCTTTCTTCAATTTGTTGGCATTTGTAATTTTATTGCTGTCTCGCAAAGGAAAACGTCGGACGTCGTGCATTTTGGTGTGAAGTGGCGAATGCAAATGCCACAGGGTGGCACTTGAGGGGAAGAAGTGCACTGCGAAGTGCAACAGCCACTTTTTGGCTCTGCCCGAAGCGCACAAAGGACAGCAAAGAGTGTCAGTTGCAGACGCGAGGACATGAATACGGAATGCACGATAGCCAATTCGGCCATTCGCGGTGGGGAATTTATGGAATTATCTCGTGGATTCAAGAGTGTGTGAAAAGTGTCCGTGAATTTTTTATAAGCCAGAGAAACAGAAGCAAGACAACATTTTGAATGCATGGCACAGAATGGTTTGGGTTGTTAAATTATACAAAACACACAAGAACTCACCCTCAAAAACCCCTCGAAATGTGTAATTCAGGAGGATTTGTTCTGTGGCTGCGGGTGTGAAAAATGAGTCTTGCGGAGAAGAAAGAAAATGTCTGAATTGGAATCCACTTGACAAAGGAGACAACAATTTACCAGGCGTCTCCATTTCATCAGCCCCTCTCTCTCCACCCCAGCGCCTTTCATCGCAAACGAGCCAGCAAAAAGGGCGCCGCACCCCATTGAATTAATGATTTCCACGACAGCGCCCAATCCACACTCAATCGTCCTGCGGACTTCTTGCGCGCCCAGAACTTCGGCATTTGTTGCACATCTCTGTTTCTCTCTCTGTCTCTAATATCTACTTCCTCGTCGTGACGTTGAGAATCCGCCGCCGAGCCACGAAGTAGCCCAGCACGAGGAAGACCAGCGTCAAATAGAGCAGATTCAGGATGTTCGGCCAGCCGCCCGAGTCCTCCACGTCCACGGCCTGCAGGATCTTCTTGGGAACCGTGTACTGGCAATACATCTCGTCGCAATCGATCCTGGTCCTGTTGAACCCGTAGATCGAGACAACGAGTGAGTTGTAGCCGTGGCGCATGAAGGAGATGTCGAAGAGCCACTGAAGGTAGGAAGGCGCATCGCGGCGAGTGATGAAGTAGCCAGAGGACACGAAGAAGGCTACCATGTAAGTCTGGCCCAAAATAGATGCGTTCTGAGAATTGAGGAAAATAATTAACCAATTATAGACACAACACATGTTATCCGTTTAATTTGCAAAGAAATATGTGACTTTTTAATCATATAAAACAAAAACTGCCACTCTGTTGATATGATAATTTAAGGAATTAGTAATGCGAAATCATAAATTATTGATCATGAAACTACGATAGCAAATATAATTGTTAACTTGCGACTGAACTTTCTTGTAATTGTTTATCTATTGTGTAAGGAATATAATGAATTGTGGGAAATCAAATTCAAGTGCAGCACAAAGAAAGAATCGCGTCGGCAATGCGAGTTGTTCTACTGAATATTGCATAAGCAGGTCAGTGGAGCAAATGTGTTGCATGCAGGAGGCGTTTCCTCACCTGGACATTAAATATGAATCCCGTGGTGTAGCCGATGCAGTGGCCGACGATGGCCAGCCCGTTGCAGCCAGCGACGAACACGGCCAGCCGCTGGATCTCCATGTCCTGGCCGGTGACCCAGAAGGTGACAATGGCGTACAGAGTGGCGGCCATCAAGTGGAGCGGCAGGTCCACAATGACGAGGGAGAGATAGTAGGGCAGAATGGAGTACCATCCATTGAAGTGCTCCCTCTTGACTATCGGAATTTCTCGTGGTACTTGAATGACAAATTTCTTGTTAACATTAAATTAGCGACTCTGGGCGACTCATTCACTCACTGACTGAGCAGTTGGCCGAGTGCGACACAAAGGAGAAGTAACTGAGTGTGTTGAGGATGTAGCGCATGTTGTTGAGGACATCTTCCGCCTTGCGTCCGATGCCGTGATAGAGGATGCAGACGATGGCGATGCAGAGGATGTGGATGGCACTCCGCAGGCCAATCAGCGAGATGTCGCGATGCGTGATGAGAGCTCGTCTCCTCACCAGCACGGCCAGCTGTCTGAAGAAAGTGGCGCCGTACGGCAAGTCGTATCGCAGCTTGATGTCCTGCAGCAGTCCGTCGACAGCCTCGCCGTTCGGGGACTCGCTCGCGGTCAGCAATCGATCGCGCCAGTCGTTCTCATAGGCGTCCGAGGCGATTTCCAGCAGGAACTCTGCCGGGTTGTACGTCTGCGGGCACACAATGTCGAACGACGCCCTGAGATGCTGCACAATCGCGTCATACCGTCCGTTGTAGATGCATTTCCCGGCCGCCAAGACGTACAGCTGATCGCACTCTTGCAGAACGAGCGGCGTTGGCTGGTGCACAGTGGCTATAATGACTCGGCCGTCCTTGGCCAACTTCTTCAGCACTTTCATGCACTGGATCGACGTGGAGTAGTCCAGGCCGCTGGTGGGTTCGTCGAAGAACATCACGGTGGGATCCCTGATCATCTCTAGCGCTATCGTCAGGCGCTTCTTCTCCCCTCCGGACAAGCCGGTGCTCCTGTCGTTCCTCAACTCGTACAGACTCAGCGACACCAGAATTCTGTCAATCAACTCCTGCAAATCTTCCGCCTTCCTGCTCCTGCCGATCTTGAAACGCGACGCGAAAATCATCGCCTCGTTGACGGTCAAGAATTCCGCCACCAGGGAATCTTGCAGAATGTACACGGAATTCACATTCCTCGCCCTCTGTCCCTTGTCTATCACAGAAACATCGCCCGAAAAGCCCTTCTGCGCCCCAGCCAGTATGTTGAGCAGCGACGTCTTGCCAGCACCAGAAACTCCCATCACCATCACCAGTTCGCCACTCCTGAAGCTCCCGCTCACGCCATTGAGGATCACCTTCTTGCGCGCCCGACAGAAGCCCGACTTCCACTCACGCACGGTCACGGCATGGCGGATGTTGGAGAAATTCACACTGAGATCCACCGTCTCCTCATCCATCATGGACACACGCGAGATACTGACTGGAGACAAGTTTCACTGGAAGTACATCGCACTTTTCCACTCAACTGTGAACTAATAGTTGAATGGAAAAAACTGCATCTGTGTAACAACTCACTACACTGTCGGCAATTCCACAACTTTTTGCCGTGCACTGCAAATTGTGGGGAGGGGAATCACTTTTATAGTGCTCTGAAGTGGGAGAAGGTCAAGTCAGTGCACGCGCACTTAAATGGTTTGGTATTTTGTTTTAGAAAACGAATTGTAAATAAAAATAGACATAGAATACAAGTAAGGAAAGTGGAATACTCTTTGTTCTACTTTTTCTCTAATTTTTGCATAAATTAATAATTATATTATATCAAAGGGTTTCAAGCAATAACAAACGACAACAGCAGTGTAGCGGAATTTTATGCAACAATCTTCTTATGACGGCGACACGCGAAAGGTCGAGAACTTGTAAAGTGGACAATTAGACATGATTATTTATCTTCTTGAGTGATTTGAAGATTTCACAGAAGTGAGTATACAGTAGCGTTCATGCAGTTACGAACACCTCTTCAAAGCACTATAATGTGTGTAACGAAAATTTATCCAGTGGATTAAGTGAGTGAATCCCGTGCAGTTGGATGCAAGTTCCTTTCGGTGATTTCCTCTGCTTGGGACGCAATTGTTGTCTTCTTTTTGGCGTCTTAACTGCTTTTTTTCTTTCTTTTCACTTTGTAAAAGATGAGGAAGAAAGGCTATACAACTTATGAAAGAGCTTTTCCACCGTTTTGCTCTGGAGGTTGGTCATCAATGCTTAGACGTCGGTGGACGCAAAGTACGGTCACAAAAGCATTATACTTATGAGCGATTAATAAACATATTCTATTCTATTCTTCAATGCCTAAGAATGGCCTTAAATGCAGGTATCGATGACGAAACAAAAAAATTTATAAAAAATGAAAAAGTCTATAAAGAAGCAGAAATAGAAAACTTAGAAGAATTTAGCACAGATATAGCAAAACGCACATACAGCAAATTTGAAAACATCAATAACAGAATTATAAACAATATCATAGAGAAAAGTAGATTCAATACAAGAATTTAAAGATATCAATCTCCAATCATACTAGATTAAAAATTAAAAACATGCTCATAGGCCATCTCCTCCCACTCCACCAAACAAACAATAACTTAAAATAAAAAGTACATAATGAATTACAAAAAAAAAACAAAAAAACAGCAGTAGAATAGCAGCAGGCTATAGCCCTGGAAGGATTCATAGTGAATAAGCAACAGGGACAAATATGTACATAGTATAAGCTAAAAATAAATTTACTTTTAAATAAAAATAAAATATTCTATTCTTCAGGAACGTTTCCTCGCACGACTAAACAGCCAGTCAGGGAAACTTCTGCCAGAAGGTCCATGGAGGGATGTAGCGATCGATTTTCTCAGCCCACTTCTATCTAGTGAAAATTCATTGGTGATAGTAGACTATTACAGCCGATACAAGGAGGTGGAAATAATGACGAGAATATCGGCAACGAATACGATTGCGAAGTTGGAACCTATGTTCGTGAGGCTGGGCTATCCTCAGTCGATAACACTGGACAATGCGAATCACTTCATCAGCGAGAAGTTCCAGTAATTCTGCAAGCAACGAGGAATTCACCCCAACAAGATCCTGCCATACTGGCCGCAAGCGAATGGAAAAGTGGAGGAACAAAATTGCTCCATAGTCAAAAGGAAAAAGATCAGCGCTTCAACCGAGCGAAATTGGAAGAACGATCTCCAAGAGTATTTCACGATGTATTACTCTACTCCTCACAGCACAACAGGGAGAACTCCTACAAAATTGTGCATCAAAGAACAATTATGCTCTAATTATTATTTGAGAACAGTAGTGGAAATAGGGAAAATATCCGAAGATGAAACCTCTTTGGAGAGATTCTCCATGGCCAAATTGGCCGTTTCTTTTAAAATCATCTTTGCCGAATAGCCTTTCGGAGCAACATGAAGTTGGCTCCGAAACTCTGTCAATTCGCTCTCTTGGAATCAATAAAAAAGTGAAATAGACGTGTGTGATTTTCATGCTGCGAAAATCTGCCTTTATAAAGGCAATCCCGACAGTTTGTTAGTTCATCGCTGACGCTAAATGGAGACAACGATCCGCCGATATTGGGAGCTTGTGGAGTGTTGATCTGGCGAAGCGAAAAATTCCTTTTTCGCCAGATAATATCTCACCTCCATATTTGCAGGTTAGTTAGTGAGTCGGTCGGCAGGAAGCCTAGTGGCGGAGTGGGCAGAGTCTAATTCTTTCTGTCCTACTTCAGGTTAGTTCCCCGACCACTCTTTATAATAAAGAAAAAAAAGTAGTGGAAATACCACTCTTAATATCCACATGAAGTTGAGGTGAATTTCTCTAAGCTCCCCACAGGATTTACTGGAGCACATTTCATGGGCGAAATCAGAATTATCATTGCATTTTCATTGTCATTTGTTTGTGATATTCAAGATGTCGCCACGAAAGAATAGCAAGTGCAAAAAAAATCTTTTTTGCAACGTTTGTGGAAAGTTTATATTTCCGTATCAAGGAACAAAGATCAATTACACTATCCTATGGAAGTGAGCGAACTCCTTCGCACAGTAACGAAGCAGTAATCAGTAACAAACGTCATCTGATGACGTGTGTTACTGCAATGACGTCCCCGCTTTGTTTTCTGTGCTAGGACATCAACACGACACCAAAGAATGGCGCCTTTTTATTGATGCTGGCAAGATTAGCCTGAAAGCTGTGCTTCTTCACAACGGCACAAATGGCCGTCCTTACCTCTTGCCTTTGCTAAATAAAAGGAGGACTGTTAGAATCTAAGGCATCTCATTGATTTCATCCGATCATTACATTTCATCAAAACATTACCAAAACAGTAAATAATCATAGATTTTAAATGGAGATTCAATCCAGTAAATAGGCATAAGGACCTCTTATTCCCGGAAGAAGGTTTAGAAAAAGAACAGAAGATTAGAAAGTGAGCATTCGGTCCAAATTACGAAGAATCATACTCTTCAAAAGTATGTTATAGTCGTAAAATGTGTCTAAATCATAAGTTCACCACTGTATATCTTCGATTACGCGGAATATCAAGTATACACACACACTTTTTTTCTTTCTTTCTTTCGTCTTCACGGCCGATGAGAAAAAGTTGGTGCGGAAAAATTACTCAGTGAACAATGACTATTCCAAAAGAGAAATAAACGACAAAAGCGAGAGGATTATTTGTCACACAACTTTTTCTGTCACGGCTTTTGTGAGCACGCGAGAGTAAATTAAAAATTCCATTTCATTTATGCTCCGCGAATGATTTATGGACGAGCATAGAAGTGAGTTGCAACTGAGTGTTGGGGAGAAAAAAGTGCCAACTTGTCAGCTGAATTGCCAATTCGGATGGGATGCAGATGCCAGTGGGAAAAAGAGTGCTAATTGTTACATGCTTCAGTTGAAATTTACTTCAATTTCCCATTGACAGAGAGCTTTGAGCGCGGGACGACACTTTCAATAAAGCTCCCCCCTCCCCCCTTTATTGGCTCTATGGCGTCGGAGAGTGTAATTGAAACGCGAATGGAGAAAAGTCCATTTGGGCAGATTTATGAAATCATCAATAGATTTTCCTCCCAGCAGAAGTGTATCACTCTCGGTGACACTGAATGGCGAGAAAAGTCCCGATCTCTCCACTTTCTGCACCTTTGCGATTCACCCCCTCCCAATTGATGGCCATTCCCATTGGCTTTGGAATAAAATTCAACCATTTCTGACCCTTTGCCGGCCGAAAGTGGCCCTAAAGGGGAGCACAAATCTCATCCCCATCGTGTGCCCACTATGACACAATAGTTGTGTCAAGTGGGTGGTCCTGTGGGCTGCACACGCATAAACATCATAAATAAATGTTTATCGCCGAATGGCACGAATTCGTATTATGTCCCGAAAATATTATCATTATTGTAATGCTTTATTCTCTCTCGTTCTCTCCCTGTGTTTTCCTGATGTGTCATTACACGGTGCCTTTCTCGTCCAATTTTCAGGGGAGGTAGGGAAAAATTCCTTCCCCGAAAAGCATGGCAGCGAGAAAAGGCTGAAGATTATCCGACAGACTAATTAGCGAAAAAACACGCGAATATTTTTGGCATAAAAAAGCGTAATTAAATTTAACTAATTAATTAAGATCGTCTGTGTTGCATGACCCCCTCGTTTTTGGCGAGTGGTGATTGTGAAAAAATGTATGGAAATTCGGAAGAAATGTGTGACATTGCATGCATTACTCAAGCATTGTGGAACTCCACTGATTGGCTGAAAACTGCGAATTTCATGCGTTTCACAAATGTGCGCTGCGTAATAAATTAGTTTTGGGCGCTTTGTACTGATAAAATTTCTTTTCTCTGGACAAAAGCTTTGATGAAACGGTAAAAGAGGCTGCAGCGTTGAAGGATTAAAATGTAGGCGAAAAGGAAATAATAGAAGCAACCGTTTTCTATATAGAAATAAACGATAGGGGAGAGTGGGGCAGATTGGGACCAAATCCAATTTAAATATTCTAATAATTTCTCACATTTTTATGGTACGATTTGACATAACAGGTTCTGTGAAAAATCTAAGTGGCTTTTGTATAAAAAATATTAAACTCATGCAAAACAAATGGAGCAGATTGGGACAAAGTGAATTTCAGTCAGTCATTAGTCATCAGTCAATCATCATCATCTCCGGCACGATGAATGGCTGGAAGGATGTCCTTACTGATGCTATCAGAATTTTCAATGGATCAGGGTGGATGGAAAAAGATAGTTTTTTGACTGTTCTCCAGTGTTTGTCGTGAGCTGTTACTTCCCGCGTCAACATCTATTTTTTTTTATCGTTAATAAAATTTTGCGCGCGAGAAGCGTCCATGATGTTTGAGAAAACGTGACTGCGCAAATATCTCAGGAAATTGACCTAAAATACAATACTGATCACTGTATTGATTGTCTC